AATTGCGTAACTTAATTAAGTCTGATGTCAGCGGCTAAGATGAGCGAGCACAAGGAGAATGAGGACTTCTTTGAAAATGACATTGGATGGTTTGGGAAAGGAATAAGCTGCAAGAATAAAAGAGAGGGTTGAGTTGGAAATGGACAGGAACTGTAACATTTCAGGGCAAGATAGTAAGAGCTGGGACTCTGCTCGGACATCGCCCGGGTTTTCTACTTCGCTAAATGCGGATACTCCGCGTTCCCGTCCGTCTCCCCAGTTTCACGGCAGGAGTCGCCCTGTGACCTCACTTCCCTTGCGGAGCCGAGGAGGGTTGTTGAGTTTTCAGTGGGTTCAGCTTTTCACTTGTTGGGACCGAGCAGCCACTGCCAAGCTCCGTCTACGCAGAACTGGAAACTGCAGTCTTCCATTCATCATTTCTATACATTCTTTTTTTGCTTTACTTTAAAGAGATAGAAACTGAATTCACTGTGGATGCCTTATAGAGGTGGTTTATGTAAGAAAGATACTAAAGATTTCCACATATCGAGTCCATTCTCAAACAGAAAAAAAAAGAAAAATGCTGTGGCCCCACATGAACAGATTGGTGAATGAATCTACATTTGTGAATCTTAAGTAAAAGTAAAGTGTGCCTAGATATATATGTCTAAAACTCCCTGCTTTAGTTATGTTTTGATTATACAGAGACCGTATGAATGTGCATTATACAGTTATGTAGACTATCCTATATAATAAAAAATTTGTAATATGCAAATCGACCGAACAGCGGAATGACCGGTCGCTATGATGCGCACTGACCACCAGGGGGCAGACGCTCAACACAGGAGCTGCCCCCTGGTGGTCAGTGCACCAGAAGCTGGGCTCATGGCTGGCAAGCGTAGCGGTGGTGGCGTAGCAGCGCTAAGGATGTCCAACTGCTGGCTTAGGCCCACTCCTCCCCCCCCCCCAAGGGGAGCGGGACTAAGCCATCAGTAGGATATCCTCCGAGGGCTCCCGGACTGCAAGAGGGCGCAGGCTGGGCTGAGGGACGCGCCCCCCCTCCCATGCACAAATTTCGTGCACCGGGCCTCTAGTGTAAAATAAATGGCACTACGTGTACTGTTAAAAATCACGTTTCCTTCACTCTTTTATTGGGATCCATCTGACTTAAGGTATGTGAGGTAAGTGTGGTATAATATAGCACCACTGTACTCATGAAGCCAGTGAGTCAAGCCTTAACTCTAAACCTGGTGGATTAGGTAGGTTAGACCCACCAAACAGTTCTCACTGCCTCAAGACCCCGAGGGCCCGGGGAGCTGGCTCTGTAGAAATTACAATGAAAATGGGCAAGGAAGTCGCCTTCGCGCATCAGAGAGGCAGCAGGGATGTCTGAGAGCCAGGCTGCTGCAGGACAAACCCTGGCTTTTCCCAGTTCTCCGGGGCAAGCCACTTAAGGTCTCCACCCCCCCCCCCAGCCTCCCTCCGAGGGGGGTGCCCCGAGGATTCTGGGTGAATCAGTGGGCAGTCATTAGAACGGCGCCTGGCACGGGGCGAACGCCACACACGCGCTAGCGACGGCCTTTACAGTTCTTAGTCATCATGACCGTTTCTTTTTGCCTCTAATTTGGCATAATCTGAGAGGCCCTTATGCTAAAAGTGTAAAATAAATAAAATAGTACATTTCACTTAAAGTCACGGATGCCCACTCCCGTATGAATTAAGAAAGTTGGACCCTTGATTCTTTCCACAAAAGCCCAGAGGTGGGTGTTTGGGGAGCAGATTGCTTGAGTATCATATGGGGGGGGGGGTAGGTGCCCCCATTTACCTTCCAGGGAGGAGAAAAAGGAACGTTCAAAACTCCAAAAAAAAAAGTTTATTTATAAAATACTGACAAGTTTGACAGGACATGGGACTTCTCATGGTAGATATCTCAAATCAATTGCTTCCTTACCTTTCCTTTAAAAAATAAACCTAACAAGCTATATGACATATAGATATATATTTTTTTTCTTACACATAGACACCTGCCATAATGAGTACTCTCCCCATAATTTTTCATTATATCTTTGAAATAAAAAAAATAAAGATTTGTGTTGGTTTTTGGAGTCTATCTGTGTAAAGAAAGGTAACACGTTGAAATGCTTTTGGTTATTCTCACGGAAACCAATGGGGGGGGCGGTGGTCCCAAGAGGGCACCTGTGCTCAGGGTGGTGTCAGGGTTGCACTGGGCAGGACCACACAGAGGCACTGGGGAACCGGCGGCTGCTGCCCAGGTGGTGCCCCCCCACCCCGCCCTTCCCCCAGGGTGGGCACCTTCCGACGTGCATGGTGGGAAGGTGAGGGAGGCCCCTGCCCAGGGTGGGCTATGGGGCAGCTCTGGCACCTTTAAAAGCCCTGCCCAGGGAGGTGTGGGCAGACGGAAGGCCTCCGGGCAGCGTTCCCTCTGAATCTGGCAGTGTTGGGGGCAGGACAGGCAGCCTGCGTTTGCAAACTCCCTGGAGCCTCGGGAGGAACTCAGAGCAGCTTTTTGGTTTGTCTTGGCAGTCGGGGTGCAGAGCTGATGTGAACACGGAGGCACGCCAGGAGGGGGAAGGGCAGGGCGGCCCTGGGTGCCATGTGTGGGCTGCTGGGTGCCACACCGGGTTTCCTGGGGCGACGGCCAGGCAGAGTCACAGGTGCCAGGTGTCCTTGTGTGAACCTGCCGCAGGTGGAGTCACACAGATAAGGGCCCTGGCATCCCCGGCCCGGCGAACCACAGGGCGGGGAGGCTCCCTGTTCCCCATGGCAGTGCAGCCAGGTGTCGGGACGGGGGTGGGGGCGGGGGCGGGAGCCTCCTCTGCCCCAGCAGATATGTAAACAAGGGCAAAGAGATGTCTGCTCAGGAGCCTAGAGTCCCAGGTTTGGCCAGGGTGGTGGAGGCCACATTTCTGATGGGCGGGGGGGGGGAGGTGAAGGGTGGGCTTTCACCCTGGGCCCAGCCTGCCTTCATGGGGTCACCTAGGGGCCTTGGTCTGCACCAAGCATGTCAAATTCACGGCCCAGGCCCGAGGCCCGCCGGCTTTGAGTTCGACATGCTTGGCTCTGCACAGTGTCCTGTCCTCTCAGACGACAGGTCCCAAGTGGGGGTGACTCAGGCTGCCTGAGCCTCACAGCGGAGACAACTTAAGAGGCTGTTGCAAGACCTCCTTGCTAACACACAGGCGGTGTGCGTTCTGTGCATGCCTGTGTGTGCACGTGTGTGAGCCCTCACACGTGTCAGCATGGGTGTGAATGAGTGTGTGGGGAGGAGGGAGGGCAGACATCTAAGTGCACCAGGTGATTCATGAAAGGCCAAGGACATCTGGCCTCACGTGCAACACACACACACAGACACACACATGACACACAGACACACATGCGCACACCATGTGTTCACTTGTCCCTGCTTCCGCTCCCCAAAGCCCCTCAGTGGGCCGAGCTAGAATAATTCCCTAATGCAAGCTGGGAACTTCCTTAAATGGTTACACACACAGCAGATAGGGAAGAAGATGCAGCTGTTTTAAAAAAAAGAGAAGAGAAGCGGAAAGGAAAGAGAAGCGGCAGCAGATCACAGGCGGGCGGCTGCAGATGTGTTGCTATGGAGACGCCAGATGTGCATGGAAGCCAGACCTCTGGCCTGTGTCCTCCTTGGGGGGAAAGGCTGTGCTTCCTTTCCCAGACCTGCTCCGTGTTTGCACACATTTCCCGGGGGCCCTAGTGAGTGGGGAGGAGCCCGTGGCTGGCCCTCTCCCTGGCCCTCTCCCCAGCCCCTGGCCCTGCTGTGGGCCGGTGGGCAGGGGCATACAGGCCCTCTCTCCCCTTGGCCTGCTTCCCAAATCCTCCACTCAGGCCTCCCCTAACTGTTCCCTTCACCCCCTCAAATAGGGCACCATCAGCCCCTGGGCAGAGTCTGTGCTCAGCACCCCAGGGAGCCCCGTCCACGAAGGCGCCCCCTGCTGCACTGACCCGGCAGTCTCCTTGCCCCAACTGTGGGGCGCCAGGGGCCCCGGGACTTAGATAGGCTCCCCCCGGCCCCCTCATCCGGAAGTCCGGAGCTGATGGGAACTCCAGGCCACCGGAGCGGCTTTTTAAGAACATTCCTCGGGCGGGCTGTGTGTGTGCAGAAGCTCTGCCTGCGTCAGCTATTCTCGTCCCCTGGTCCCATCTGACCTGCCCTCCCGGCCGGCCTGGCTCTGCTTCTCAGGAACTGCGTCCAGTTTGGATGGACGGGCCCCTCCTGGCTCCAGGCCCTGGCGAGGCGGAGCTGAGCCCCGAGGCCATCCCTCTGCTCAGGAGGCGGGTGTTTTAGACGCGGAGAGCTGGGGGCTGAGAGCGAGAGGAGCGCAGATCTGAGAGGGAGCCTCTGGTTTGGCTACAAGAACCAAGGGGTTTCTCTTGGAGAGGCTCCCCGGGCTCTGCTCCTTGCCGGTGCCTGGGGCGTGTGTGTGTGTGTGTGTGTGTGTGTGTGTGCACGCGTGCACATGCATGTGACAGGAGGAAGATGTCTGTCCAGGGAGAGAGCTGTCTGCATGGCCTCCCTCACCCCAACCTTGCTCCCCAGACCCTGGCCAGCGGAATTTCTTCGTCCAAGTGGTTCCCTTTGCCCTATTCCTCTAGGGTTAGGGTGGAGGCGGGAGGTGGCGGGGGGGCGCAGATGGTACCTGAATTGGAGGAAAGAGTGAAGTCAAAGCGGCCTTCTTACGTTCCCGACTCCCTGCATTTCGCCCGATTACCCCGGTGATGCCCGGCCCGTGCCCCTACTCTGTCCCCAAGTTCATCTCCGCTCCCCTGTGCTCAGGAAAGTGAATTCAAGTAAAGGGATGGCTGGGCTGGGGGAGGGAGAGGTGAGGGGCTCTCTTGTACCCTGAGGAACCCTCTCCGAGATTTGCAAGAAAAAAGCATGTTAGGAACAAGGAGCTAGCGAGGCAAATTCTCACCTTTCAAATGTTTGATGGGGAAGTTGAGCAAGGGAGTGGGGGGGGCAGTGAGGGTGAGGAGGGGGCAGTGAGGGTGAGGAGGGGGCCGTGAGGGTGAGGAGCAGGACAGGGGGCAGCAGGGGGTGGCAGGGACCACCAATGCCCACTAGTAACAGGGACACGCATGGCAGTGGTTGGGTGAAGAGAGAGGAGAGCTGTGCCCAGTGACACCCATCCTTGCATAGCACCAGCCAGCCGCGGGCCCAGCGCTCCAGCACGTGTTGGAAGGGGGGAAGCTGCTCAGGCTTCCAGAAGCTTCTCCCCTCAGCCAGGCCTGTGCCTCTTCTCCCGCTCTTTCCAGGGGCCCAACCCACTCCTGTGCACGCCGGCGGCTCCGCAGCTCTGCGCCCACCCGCAGTCACGACGCTGACCGGCTGCTGGCCACACGTGGGCTCCTGGTTTTCTTCTCCCTCCTTCCCCCTCCGGCTCTGCTGGCCCTGGAATCTCTGGAAAAATAAACTCAGGAGGTGAACAGCTGACTCGGTTTCCTGGTGTTTTTGTTTTCTGGCAGGCGGTGCGGGGACGGTGGAGGGGAGTCCGGTGCCGTCTTTCTTGTTCCTCTTCGGACGTCAAACGAACGATGAAAATCCTGCTATAGGAGCCCGGGAGCCGGGGGCCAGGCTGCTGGGGGGGCGGTAGAGGGTGCTCTGCTGGCTCGGGGGGTTCGGGGGGTTCTGGGGCGTGGGGGTCCGACTGGCCTTGGGCCGGAAGAGGCTGCCCTGCTGGATGCTGCTGGTGTTGGCCGCGGTGGCGTGGTCCGGCTCCCCCGAGTCGCTCTCCGTGTAGCTGTAGGCCTGGGCCCGCGAGATGCCCTTCTGCTGCCGCCGCCAGGAGTTGTAGTAGGTGGGGTCGCTGATGTAGTGGTTGACGAAGGAGTGGGCCTTCTGGTGGTTCTGGTCGACCTCGTACTCGCTGTCGCTTCCCTGGGGGGACAGAGATCGGGTGTCAGGGGCACGGTGGGGACAGGCGGGGTGGGGACAGGCGGGGTGCTCGGCGCTGGGAGGTGTGGAGGGCTCTGGTCTGAATGTCTGCTCGGCCTCTTCCAGCCCCGGGACCGGGGCCCTTCAGCTCCCCGCACGGCCCCGAGGGTATGGTGCCCCCTTTGGCCTGCCTTGTGCGTCCTTCGGAGCAGGTCCTGGCACAGAGCCTGCGGATTTTGTATTTTTTGTGTGAATCCTCACCCGAGGATATTTCGCCATTGATTTTTAGGGAGAGAGGAAGAGAGAGGGAGAGATAGAGAGAAATATCGATGTGTGAGAAACACATCAATTGGTTGACTCCTGCACGTGCCCCAACCAGGGCCCAGGCCTGGGAGGAACCTGAGTGACAGGCCCTTGACAGGAATTGAACCCGGGACCCTTCGGTCTGCAGGGCAACGCTCTACCCACTGAGCCAAACGGGCCAGGGCTCAATGTGTGCCTTTTGTGTCTGGCTTCCTTCCCTCCACGGAGGGTTTCTGAGGCTGAATGAACCCTGCCTTTTTATTTTTGGTATTTCTCATGCTTTGACACCTGGGGCCTTGCTGCCCCTGGAGGGACTGCCCCTCCCAGGGCGGGTCCATCCTCAGACGATGAGCTGATTTCAGAGCCCACAGCCCACCGAATGGGCTCCCACATGCTCAGCCACTGTTCTCTGTTCCTAACCACCCCATGGCCAGCCCCTACCCCCCAGAGCCCCTGAATTCATTGGCCTCCCCTAAGCCTGCTTCCCCGGCTTTGACTTTCCCGTGGGCACCACAGTCAAGGCTCCTGCCCACGTCTTCTTCCTGCTCCCCTGCCTGCTGGCGGCCCTGGGGCTTCCCCAGTGGGGCCCTGGGTGGCACCGTGTGAGTGCCTTCTTCTTGGGACCTGTGAGTCGCAAACTATCTTTCAGAGGCCACTGTCTCCCGACCTGTTGGCCTCGCCAGACCTGAATGATAACAAAACCTACGTTTCAAAGCAGAGGTTCACGCCCGGTAAACTGAGCATCTGCCTAAGTCCAGCCCCTGACTTACTGGGTGACGGGGGCCAGGGCCAGGAGGGGAGACCTGTAGAGGCTCCTGGCACTGCCCACCCACGTGAGATCCGGAATGAAAGCCACACTCAATCATACAACCAGCATGAGAACAAGAGCCACAAGCGTTCCGATGGTCACCCGGGGACCATCCCGAAGCTTTTGAAAAGCAATAGAAGGCATTACATTCGTTCTTAACATTGCTGGGACGGGGTGTCCTTGGCTTGCACTCCATCTGCCTATTGGGGAACCATCACGAGGCAAGCGTCGATCTGGGATGCGAAGTAAAACGGCATCGGCATCGGGAGCTGAACTGTGCAGCTAAAAATAGCATCGCCCTCCCCCACCCCAAGCTCCCGGCAATGTTTGGAGAACAAGAAGGCAGCAGATGGGACCGCCCTGACAACGAACTCTCTGGAAGAGAGGCTCTCGGATGTTAGCGCACAGCACACGCCAAACAGAACACAGCGCAGGGCCCTGGCCCGGTGGCTCAGCTGGTTAGAGCATCATCCTGACCCACCAAGGCTGTGGGTTCAATCTCTTGGTCAGGGCACCTACAAGGAGCAGCCAATGAATGCGTCCCTAAGTGGGACAACACATCGATGCTTCTCTCTCTCTCTCTCTCTCTCTCTCTCTCTCTCTCTCTCCCCCCCATTCCTTTGTTTCTCCCCCACCTCCCCCATTCCTCTGTCTCTGCAAAAAACACAACAACAAAACAAAAAACGCAGTTCAGAAGACTGTGCTCAGGTTGCCTCGTCTCTGCCCAGCAAATGCGCGCTTGGAGCAGCAAGTGAATGTCCCCAACCTCAATAAAACACACTCGAGAAACACACTACAGCCAGGAGCCCAGTGAGCCCAACGCAAACGAGCCTGGGACCATCAGCGCGTCCTGCTTTGCAGGTGGGGAAGCGGGAGAGCTGGCCTCGCCCACTCGGTCCGAGCCGTGGGATCTGTAATGGGCACGTGTTCTCGGGAACCGAAAGTCCCTTATGGCCTCTAGACCCTCAAGAGCAGTATCTACAGTGCACAGAACCATCGTGACACCATCTACGGAAACTCGACCTGAGTTCCCTGCGGAATCGTCACACCTCTGCCTGCAGCCAGTGAATTGTCACACCTCTGCTTTTCGCCCAAAGAAATGAAGAGCTGGGCTTGAACTCAGAGCTGCCTGATTTTTCCAAAGCCCACGCATGCCCAGAGGTCACAAGACGGGGAATGAGAGTCCTGCCCCCTCCCGGGAGATAAATGCTCCCTAGTCAGTCGGCTAATTTATGTCCGCTGGCCCCTCTCCTCCTCCACACCCTCACCCTCCTCACCCCTCTTCCCAGCAGAAAACCCCAAGACCAAGACATGGGAAGTCCCTCGCTGGTCTCCCCGGGACGAGCCCCTTTCTCTGCCTCCTGCCCAGCTGCCGGGCCAGGAGGGAACAAAGGGGCCGCACAGACACGGGGCTCCATATGCCAAGAGTGGGAGGGGTGGGGGGGCACCTGATGCTGGGCTGTGGTGAGGTTGGCCCGGAAGCAGAGAGGTCTGGGCAGGCAATAGTGATGCCATGAGGCAGGAGGCTGGGGGTCCCTCTGGTCCAGGGGCAGCGAGGGTTGGTGAGGGGTGGGGGGCTGAAGGGAGAGCCACAGTCTCTCTAGCAGGGCACCCACTGACTGGCTGGGATAGTTGCTAGAGGTCTGAGAACTGTGGCCGGCCCTGGGCCTCAGTCTTGGGGAGGAATCGCCAGACCACTTCGGGCCCATCCCCGAGGGGATGGTGTCTGGGGTAGGAGGTGACTGTGGGAGCCTCTCTGGGCCTCAGCATCCCTGTCTGGAAGATGGGTGGGTCCCTGCAGGCCGGAGGGTGAAATGAGCTCCATCAGCAAGAAGGCTGTGAAAGGTATTGTTAGGGAGAGAGCGAGGGT